TTGGGGAGGATGGAGATGGGGTGTGAGCAGGGTGGCAGCGGAGCACCTTCCTCCGTGCAGCTCTGAGCCATTCGTGAGCCGAGTCTGCAAGTCCTTCTGCAAGGTCCTGAGCAATGCATCGGAGCGGGTGGATTGTGGCTTGTTGGGGGTGTTATTTTTTTGTTATTTTGGTTTTATGTGATTCCCCGTGAGGGCAGAGGACAGGGGTAGCTAACCCCTTTAACTGTGTGCACTGAAGGCTGACCGTGCCAGAGCGCTGCCTTTAAAAGGGCAGTGAACCTTCAATTCCTGAATAAATCATCTCCAGTCTGCTGCTCCCTCATCTGCAAGCTGTTTGAGCGTGCTGCGCATTCGCTGCGGCCCGGGGTCCTTTGGAGATCAGAGCCCTCGTGTGACCTGGGTCACAGGCAGGACACCTGTCACGGGCTGTCCCCGCGCCCCAGGGCTGCCGGGACCTGTGAATCAAAAGGACACGAGGGAGGAGCAGCGCTGGAAGTGTCTCTGACTGCTGCTGGGCAGGCTGCTGCGGAGGGAGGGAGGTTTGCACCGATCCTGCATCCCGGGCTCCCATCTCCACAGGGTGGTGCAGCACCCTGCATGTTCGCCCACAGGGATGCTCGGGGGCATCTGTTTGGTATCTCACTTGTTTTAGCTGTGAAACCAGGTTCAGCTGCTTTCAGAGTGCTGGTCATGCCAGGGATGTCTTTGCTGCTCCTAGCTGAGTGCTGCCCCTGGGAGCATGGGGTGGCTTGTCCTTACAGTCCCTCGGTGGTTAAATGACACTTGAGTGCTGCCGGCATCACTGGGGGTGCTGTAGCCCAAGGGCTACATGTTGAGGTGGAGGGTTGTAGAATCTGCAGGCACTGCGTGTGCCTGAGGCCGGGGCTTTTTTTCCAGTGTAGTCTTGCTCACTGGAGTGTCCATGCGTGTGCATGTGTGTCCATGCATGTGCATGTATGTACCATGCATGTGCAGCCAACTGGAGCAACCAGCTGTTGCAGAGTGACCTTGAGCATCCCTGGTGTGTTCATCAGCCCCGGAGGGCCAAGGGCAGGCAGTGCCCGTGGCTGCCTGGGTTGGTGGTGTGCATCTCTGCAGTGAGAGCAATGGGCTCACAGGCAGCTTCTGAGACAGTCAGTTCAAAAGCAAAGAAAAATGTCCTGGGAGCCACCTGGAAATCTTTGGGGCCTCAATCTTAGGAGCCTCGAGCTACCCCTAATTGCACTTCCAGGCCATCAACAGCAGCGGATTCGATGCAAATCCTGTGCAGGAGGAGGGGAAGCGACCCTCTTATGTCCCTGCCCCTGGCATCCAAGATGCTGCATGCGGTGGCTGCAGGCAGGGATGGGAAGGGACCCGCACCCCCTTGGGGGTTAATGACAGGGTCAGGCTGCTCGTGGGAGCGACTGTCCTTGGAAAGGGTGATGCTGGCTCTGGTTTCTCTCCTCCTGGTCCCCATCTCCGCTGTGTGGAAAAGGCTGCGGGGCTGCCAGGGTCGAGGCAGGGGAAGGACCAGGCCACCCCTGGGGTGTTTCTCCTGGTATCCAACCATAATGAGGTGAAAAAGGAGCATTAATAAATTATCTCCCTGGCTGTTAATTGACGGGTCCGCGGGCGGGGCGGGGGCTGAGCCCGGGGCTCAGCTCCCCTCGTTAGGGCCCCATTAGCACATCCCGCTCTCCCTGCCAAGGCAATTAGCGGCCGGGCGGCCGCGCTGCGGAGCCGCCGCCTCATTTGCACCTCCCCGAGCCGCCCAAAGGCTCGGGGATAACGGGGGAGGGGGCCGGGGGGGGCCGCTGGGCCCGGTGCCTTCTGCGGGGGAGGAAGGAGCGTGGTCTGCCTCGCCCGGGGGTGCGGGGGCTCCCGCAGCCTTGCGGCGGGCTCAGCAGCTGCTCCAGCCGCTGCCTCTGCCCGTGCGGGGAGCAGAGGGACCCCCTCGGTTGGGGACCGGGGTTGTGTGACCCCGCTGCAGTCGCGGGGGTTGAGTTTCCCCAAGGAAAAGGCTGGAAAGCATCGGGAAAATAGCGGGGATTCGGTTCCAGTTTAACAACTTGGTGGCTGTGCTGTGCGGCCACAAAGGCGGCCTTGTCCCTGCCGCGGGGGATAAGCCCGGCCCGGGATTCATATGCAGATCCGGGGGGTGCGGGGTGTCTGCTGCGGGGGATAAATCTGTCCCCAGCCCGGTCGCCTTGCCCTGGCCCGAGCTGCTTTACATTTGCACAAAACGGGTTCCAAGCGGCGTCCGGGCGGCCTGTCACCTGCCTTTGACAGCGGCGCTGGCAGCACAGCCACCTCCGGGCGCGGGGGAGCCTGGCCCTGGTGACACTAATCTGTCCCCGCGCGTCCCCTCTGCCGCCTTGAGAGAGCCCCTGTGCTCAGCGCCGCTCTCGAGCTTCTCGGGTGCCACAGGACGCTCTTTGCTTCTCGCTCCCTTTTCTTGTGGCTGTTTCTTTGCTGCTTGTTTTATTTTTAATACTAACGCAGAGGAGTTTTCTTGCTGTGCATTCGGGGATGTGCAGGATCCCGCATGCCTGGGTGGGAGACCGCAAGTGGAGATCTGGACCCGTCACCTGTGCCGACCTTTTACCAAAAACACCCCTTGGCCAACAGCAATGAGGAGATGCTGCAGCCGCGAGCTCCTTTGCTCGACCTCTCTGTGACCGATAATCAAAGCCCAGGGTTTGTTTGGTCCATGTGTGGCACACCTGGTGCTTCCAATAGGTGTCTTTGAGTGAGTGGGTCCCAAACGGCTGGTGGGATGATGAGGAGGAGGATGATGATGATATGGCTGGGTCACCCAAGGCGAGGGGGAAGGAAAACGTCTCTGAATGATGCATTAAACAACTCCAGGGAGCCTGTGCGCTTGGAGGAGCCGTGATGTTTTCCAACCCTCTCTGCACATTTTCCTTCGCAAACATTAACAGTTTCCTGTGTTGAATATCTCTGTTCGGGCAATCCATTTCTGGTGCCTATCAAATGCCACCTGACTTAATATTTATTAAAAATTGCGATTTATGAGCTTAATAGAGAGGTAAAAGTGCTTTATCCCTCCTCCTGGCCAATCAGACACCTCTTAAAACACGAACTCCTCCAGAGGCTGCTGGAGCTCGCCGGCATCGGGACTCGTGTGTCTACCTGTAGGCAACTCTTTGCAATCCAAAGGCCTTCTCCTAAGGTCAATAGGAATTAGCTGTGAAATTAATTAATGTTTCCAGTGCCTTTACTAAAGTGGAGCATAACAGAGGCCCGGTCTTTTATTTGCTAGTTTAAGCCAGATCTGCAGAGAGACAAAGGTTATCAATAATTAACCAGGGTAATTTAGAGGAAAGTATTAGGGAGTTAATGAAAATGGGAAATAGCGTCATTATCTTGCAAGGAGCTGGGCACTGGGGTGTTGGAGTTGCTGATGGAAAGTGAAGTGTCGCACAATTAACTTCTTGGAGGCTGTTGCTCCTGCTGCGCTCCCGGAATGACGTCAAGGGTGTTTTTTTTCCACCCGCTAGCATGGGTTTTATAAAGCCTTTTAGCAAAAGTCTCTGCTTGGCTCCTGGGTCCGTTGGGACAAGCAGGGTTGGGTGTCCCGGCCCCTTCGTGTCCCCTCTAGGGCCATTCCAAGCGCTCTCCGCTTGGCCGTGGCCGCTTCCCTGCGCGTCGAGGGGTGTCTGCGTTGGCTCATGCGCTCCTGTTTGCCGAGTGCTGTTTTCTGCTGGGGAGCAGCACATGGAAAGAATTGCTGCACTGCTCAGCAATGCTGATGGCATCCCAGGGAAGCCCTGGAGAAGGGCATAAATTCTGCAGCAAGTCGGCACGGAGGGGCTGCATAAAGCAGCTTGGCAGAGCTCGCGACGGGGTCCTGCATGTAATTAAACATCTCTCCAGGACTGGGCCGAGGGGCCCCGGGGCCTCCGGCAGCCCTGCGGATGGAGGAGGCTCTGGGTCCTTCCCCAAGCAGGGGCGAGGAGGGGATTTTGGGGAGGAAATGGTGCTGCAAAGGCTGGGGACCCAGGGTGGCCACCCATGGGTGTCTGCTGGATGGGTGCTGATGGGGCTTGTGGCTCCTGTTGCTCCGTGTCAGCAGCAAAGCTGGGCAGGGAAAAGTGATTCCGTAAATTCTGGCAGTGGTAGGGAAAAAAGAAGGGGAAAAAAAGCCACTGGTGGCTTTGGCCTCCCGATCGGGGAGGGTTTGCGCAGGGCCCAGCACTGCTCACAAATGCTTTTAATAAACTGTTCTTTCCCGCGTCCAGGGGAAAAAGAAAAAAAAAAGCCCCAAACCTCAAGCCTTTTCCCATTACATAAGGAACAGATGGTGCCGGGTAGAGCCCCGGCTGGCCGGCAGCAGCTCCTGGGGAACCCGAAAGCCCCGCAGGTCCCGCAGCCCCCGTCCCGCCGGGCACCACGCGGCTCCTGGAGCTTGGCTGAGAGCGAGCGGGATCCCTGGCACCTTCCCGGGAGGCAAAGGCGCTTCCCGGAGCATGTCCCAGTGCTGCGCACGTGGGCACAGGCGCGCGGGTCGCCGGCCACCTCGCCCCTCCTTCCCCTTCGAGTTGTCCCTTTGCAGCAAATGTGCTTCCTTGGAAAGCGCTGAGCTTCCCGAACGTTGAGAGGGTGGAGGAACTGGGATGGAAGGAAACGGGCTGGGAAGGGCATGGGCTCCAGGCAGGAGCGAGCGCGTCCGGGCACCGCGGGTGCCGGCAGCGCGCGGAGGTCGCCCCTTTTGGGCCATGCACAGCCCAGGAACCTGCACGATGGGGAACACGGCAGGTGAAAGTCCGTGAGGCTCGTTGGGATTTTGCTCTGTTCCCATTGAGGGCGCAACAGGCACCTTGGGCACTTGGAGGCTCGTGGCTCTTTGCCAGCATCTCTCCTGGGGCTGCCAGCCTTGGTGGCCGCTTGCCGTGACCGCGGGGATGACTCGGACCGCGTGCTGTGTGTCGTGGTGTGTGTGATGTTGGCTTGTCGGGGCATCCCCAGCGCTCACCGCTCTGCTCTTCTCGCCGCAGGAGCCTGATGCCGCGAACGCTGGAGGGGCAGATCACCATGGAGAAGACCCCCAGCTACTTTGTGACCAAGGAGGCGCCCAGGAGGATTTACAACATGTCGCGGGACACGAAGCTCATCGTGGTGGTGAGGAACCCCGTGACCAGGGCCATCTCGGACTACACGCAGACGCTCTCCAAAAACCCCACCATCCCCAGCTTCCAGGCCCTGGCCTTCAAGAACCTCAGCACGGGCTTGGTGGACACCACGTGGAGCGCGGTGCGGATTGGCATCTACGCCAAGCACCTGGACAACTGGCTGCAGTACTTCCCCCTGTCCAAATTCCTCTTCGTCAGCGGGGAGAGACTCGTGAGCGACCCAGCTGGGGAGATGGGCCGGGTCCAGGACTTCCTGGGGCTGCGGCGGGTGGTCAAGGACCAGCACTTCTACTTCAACGAGACCAAGGGCTTCCCGTGCCTGAAGAAGCCGGAAGGCGGCAGCCGGCCCCGCTGCCTGGGCAAGTCCAAGGGGCGGCCGCATCCGCAGATCGACGGGCAGGTCGTGCGGCGCCTGCGGGACTTCTACCGGCCCTTCAACCTCAAGTTCTACCAGATGACGGGGCAGGACTTCGGCTGGGACTGAGGTGCCCGCGGCACCGGCGCCTCCCTTCCTTCTAATTTATATGGGACTTCTTCGGGCGAGAAATGGACCCTTGCGGAGTAGAGAGAAATATTTAAGGAATAAAAAGCAAAACACAGATGACCGCCCTGCCCCTGCCTCCTCCCCCACCAGATTAAATATTCTTTCATATAAACCTCGCTTGTCGCCGGAATGGGGGTGCGTGGGTGGCTCTGTGTCAGCCGAGGGTTCTCCATCCGCAAGGAAAGCTTTGGAAAGGGGCAGGGTGTCCCGAAGGAGCCAGAGCTGAGGCACGGGGAGCCTGCGGGCAGCAGCGATGTGACTGCAAAGCCTGAGGTCCAAGGGGAGCTGGGGTTGGGAAGAGGGGCTGGTCCTGGAGCAACCTAGCTGGTAGAGTTGGGCATTCCCAGCCCTTGGGATGAGAATTGTCCCTTGTTGGGATTTGCCTGGGATTTTGTTTGCACAGCAAAGCAAAATCCCCAGGTCCCTCCCTCTCAATAACCTCAGCCATTTCTCCAACCTGCACACCAGCCTGGCAGGCTGCAGAAATTAGTTTCATTGCATTATCTACTTCGCCCTTAATTAAGAGGGGGAGAAACATTTAATTAACCTTTGATATCTTATTAGTGACTTGCATTTGTCCCTTTCATGAGCTAATTATGTCATTTCGGGGACATTGTTTGCAAATAGGCTCTGGCTCTGTGTTCCTCCCCAGTGCCCTGTGCTGGGAGGGAGCTGTTCCCGGCCTTGGATTCCCGTGTGTCCGGAGGAGCTGTCCCCTCTCATGTCCCCATGGTGGGACCCTTGCCACCCCAGTGGTGTTTCCCACATGTGGTGCTTGTAGACGATGCAAAGAGGCTCCTGATATGATGTGGGATGTGACGTGGGGACGTCACTGGATCTCCAAGGAAGATCTCCAAGGAAGGGCTCCAGGAAGCCCTTGGAGCCAGGAGCTCCGGATGTCGGAGCCGCTGAGTGATTCCAGCATTGGGGACCGGGGCAGCAGCAAGGATCCGTGGGGCTGGAAGTGCCCCGTCCGCCGACCCGCTGAGGGCTGGATGTCGGCGCCGCCGGAGCCCCTTGTCGGCCTCGCCGGCGGCTCCGCGTGATGGACCGCGCTCTGCTTGTTTAGGTTTTGTTTCCAGCCACGACATTCACCAAATTATTCTCCGCCGAGGGCTTTAAAGTTTCCCAAGTGCCTGTGAAAGCCTGGAAACGCTGATAGTGATCCTATTTCTCAGCTGAGTGGCTGCATTCAGCCCAAGCCATATTGATATGCAAAACGTTAAGGGTCCCGGGTTTAAAGATGGTTTCTGTCTGCCTCCTGAAAGGGAGCCATACTTTTTTAAAGCCCGGCCCTTTCTAAAGCCGCACAATGCCATATAGACTATGCCATTTAAAGCATCTGAAGCGACCCAAAATGTATTGAAAGCTTGCTTTGCAGACTCATTAAGACTACTCAATAGGTCCTGGCAAATACGGTGCTGGGACTGACCGCACGGATTAAGACTTTTGAAGTGTTACACAAACCCCCTGCTTAAACTAATTGCTGCCCCCCAGCTCCCGAGGTCAAGTATTTGTATTCATGGCCTGGCGGAGGAGCCACTTGTGGGTCTGCCCAGGTGAACCCGCACTTCATTAGATCAGGACAATAAAAGCAGCCCTGGAGAGGGTCGCCTGGGTCTTGCCCCGAGCACACCCGGCCCTGTCCTCGCGGCGGGGTTTGAGGTTGCGGCTCTCTGGGGTTGCAGCTCTCGGGTTGTGGCCCTTGCTCTCGAGGGAGGCTGCTGCAACGGGGCCGAACGCCTCTGAGCCAGGGCGAGACGGTTGCTCTGCCTGCAGCTTGGTCAACATCTTGGTGGAGCTGATCCGTGGCGGCCAGTTGGGATGGATGGAGTGGAGCTTGCAGGACCAGCTGGGTTTAGATGCGTTTTTCTGTTTGCTTTAGTTCAGCAACCATTTCTGTGGGTTTTTGGCCACTGAGACCCTCTTGGAATGATTTTGGGGGCAGTTCCTTGAACCTAAAATGGCCATTGGGGCAGATGCAGGGAGAGGAGACTGTCTGGAAGGTGATTCCCAGAGCAAGGGACACAGCAAGGGGAGGGTTCCAGGTGGCAGCTCCCGCGTCCTTTGGAGAACCACAGGTGATCAGCAATTGCTTGGAACTTGGGGTGATGTCTCTTCTACAACCTGCTCTAAGATGCCATTGCAAGCTCAGGAAACTGCTGTCATGCATGAAACACGGGAGCGTCATCCCATGCGAGCAGGAAAGAGGTTTTCCTGCTCATGGAAAGCAGGAAAGAGGTTTGCCTGCTCATGGGCTTTTTCCCATGCGCAGGATGAACTAGGGAAGCAGAAGCAAGAAAGATCAGCAGCCAATTTCCCTGCTTTCTCACTGTCCTGGTGGCTGCAGGGCCAGTTCCCTCTCGGAGGATCCTTCCCCCGGCTCCAAGCGCGGCTCTCGAGCAGCAGCCTGGACCATGGGCTCTGCCAGCGGCTGCTCCGCTTTGAATCCGGATTCAGATTCAGCTCCTGCTGTATCCCCCACAGCTGGAAAATGCCTGCGCAGGGAGGGGCAGCCCTAATTGCAACCGCGTGCGCTGCGCGGCCCCACGCGCGGGCTCTGGGCTGCATGTGGGGTGGCAGCGCTGCGGTGCCGGCCGCGCCGGGACGGAGGGAGCGGAGCAGGAGCCGCTGCGGCCGCGCGGCCGGGGCTCTCGCGCTGCGTGGCGCGAGGCTGGAGGCAGCCGCAGCGCTGGGCTTGCACAGCCGGGGGCTTTTAGGAAGGCAATCGCGCCTTATTGAAGCGATTAACCCGGTGATTTATGCGAGCAACCTGCTGGGCTCGCTTCCGCGCGGAGCGGGGCGAGGGCTCGCGGCTGAGCCGCCTCTGCGCCGCAGTGCGAGCGGAAACCGCTCCTGCTCGCGGGCTCCGCTCTTCCCTCCGGCTTTCCCAAGCCTCCGAGGACGGAGCCGCACGCCTCCGGCCGCGATGCACGAAGCAGCAGCCTTTGGCGTGGGTTGGAAACGGCACAGGCTGGCCTAGCAGCGATGGCTGGTTTATAGCAAGGGGAAAACTACCCGGGGACATTGGAGCCTGGTTGCCTGCAGTTTTTCGGGACTGTGATCCAGCCTGTTGCACGGGGACCAGCTGGTCCCGTGGGGATCCGGCCAGTGCAGCTCCAGAGCTGGCGCAGGAGGGTTTTGCCACCTGGTTCTCCATCCCGGCTGGTGAGGAGCTCCGCGGCACAGAGGGAAAGTGCAAGGGGCAGCAGAGGAGCGGGAAGCTCCTGGCAGGGATGGGAATGGGGCTTGTGCAACCACCAGCCTCTCATGGAGGGACTTAAAGCACCTTCCCGGCCGGGTGCTGTCACTTTGCCACGTTGGAGCGGTTTGGGAGTGAGGCTCCCTGCAGCGGGGGCTCCAGGGATCCGTGGGGCCCATGCGCCTGGTCCACAGCAGGGACGAGCTCCAAAGGGAAACCTTTACCCCCTTGTGCAGCCTTCCAGCTGCTCTCTGCTCATCCAGGGCTCCCGGAGCCGTTCCCAGCTCCATCCCACGCGAGGGAGGAAGCGATCTGGCCCCCCCGGGCCCCCCCGGCGGATCTCAGGGCCACACAATTCCCCGCTTTCCGGCAAAGGAGCCCTCAATGGTCCCGTGATCAAAGCCGGGGCTGCGCCGGGCTGCTGAATGCCATCGGCCTCCTCCTCCCGCGCACAACAGCTTTCCCTGCTGGAAACTCCCCCATCTGTCAACTCCGATGACATGGTCCGTGCCAGGGCTCCCTCCGCTTTTATCTTTGGGAGAAAAAATCTGCATAAAAGCTAAAATGAAAGTTTAATACTGTAATGCTAGAGAGGGCTGGCAAAAAGCCGGGGGAGGAAGAGGCTCGCGGAGGGGTTGGCAGCTCCCTGCGTGGCGCCAGGCTCCCAAAAATGTGATACCCCCCGCTTCCCGTTCCCGTGCTGCCATCCGGGCGGGATGCGCCCGGGGCGGGTGGCAGCACCTGCGCTCCGGGCACGGAGCGCCCGCGAGCCCCGTTCTGCCTCGGCACCATTATGCAGATTCGCCCTGTGGATTTTCTCCCCCGCTGGAGAAAGCACAAGAATTCGCAGGGGCTGAATAAATCCCACAGACGTTAAATATGTTAATGGAGAGGCTTCCTCTGCGCCAGGCGGTCGCGTAGCGCCGGCCCCTCTGCCCCGCGCGGCCGAAGGGAGCCAGGGAGCTCTGTGCAGCGTGATCCCACTTTCCCGACCGTCCCGTGTCCCCCCGTGAGTCCCCTGGCACCCTTAGGTGCATCCGAACGCACTGGGGTGACTGGGTGCATTTCCTTGCCCACCACTCTATTTCCAGAGTGTAAATAACAGCAGGGCACCAGCAGGCACCGGGAGCAGATGTGACTTAAAGCAATTGACATCCAGGGTAAAATGTGCACGAGAGGAAGGAAACAGCGCCAGGAGGGAGCCCTGGAGCCGGAGCCCTGGCAATCCTGGCCATTCCTCCTGCGCCGCTGCTCGCCAGGGATCCTGGGGCACCGGCTGCTCACGGCGCATCCCTCTTCTCTCCTGCTCCAGCCTTTATTTTGCCAGCTGCCAGGCTGGTTGTTTCCCTTGAAAACGCCACAGAGCTGTAACTGCGTGAAAATAGAGCTTAATAACGGGGCCGCTTGCGCAGCGCAAGGCCCAGGCCCGGCCGCGCTGGAGCGCTTCCCGCCGCGGTGACGCAGGGCTCCCCGCGATCCAGCGGAGCAGGGTCGGCGCCCGCTCGCGCCCGCCTTTGAAGACGCCTCGGATCCGGGAGCGGAGGCGTCTTGCTGGGTGATCCCCCGCGCCTGGTTCCCATTTCCTCGGAGGAGGAGGTGGGTCTGGAGCCCACGCGGAGCTGGCGGGGGGGAAGCGGTGGGGGAAGCGAATGACAAAAAGAGCCTTGACACCAGGAGCGCCATTAACCCGCCCGTGACACTGTGATTTACTGGGAATCTGTCCGTACTGATGCAGCGGCGGGTGATGCAAGCGTGGGGACGCACGGGCTCCGTAGGCTCAGCC